GAATGCCCAAACTTGCAGATAATACCCATTTGACCTAGCTTGGATATATTGATGATTAGAACTCAACTAGAGAAAGATAAAGAAAACACCAACAGAGAGAGAAGGGGTCTGCAAATCAAGGACAAAACCTATCTCCTCAGTGCACAGGGTTGATAGGGACATACAACTTAGACATTGGCTACCTAAAATGGGGGGAGGGGAGTAATAAAGGCATGGAGTGTCTGGCTTACAAGTTTTCAAGAGGGAGTATAGTTTCAGAGCAAGCAGGGGACGGTAGAATCCCCAGTTTTTATCTTGTCTAGATAGATCTGGTGAAAGGAAATGGGGATAGGATTCTTTTGATTCAATAATGAGTAATTGTTATCATAATAAATTGCAACTGTCACAAGTGTAAAGATATAAATTGTGTGACAAAAAGTGGGGAGTAGTTATTCTTACATTTCAGGAACAAAGGACCCTAGGACCAGCAAGAGGAAGAAAATCAGCAGAACATAGGATGCTAACAAGAGAAGCAGCACTCTGCCATGTAGACTATAGACTATCACTCAATTCACAATAAAAGCTTTTTTTTAAAAAAAGACAAAATGGAATGCAAAAAAAAAAAAATGTATTTGGAATATTGGATTTCTTCATGTAGAACAACAAATCAAGACTCATGTCTCACAACATACACAACCCCAAATGAATTGAGGGCCTAAATATGTAAACTAAAATCAGAATATATTTTTAGAAGGAAAGATAGGGTTGAGACTGTGAGATCTAACTTTTAGCAATAGGCCATGAAAAAGGCAATGCATAAAAATGAAAAACTCATAGATGTGACCTCACAAGAATGAAATTCATTTTACAAAAGGACTTTATCAAAATAGTGAAATAAAAGAATACAAAATGAGATAAAATATATTGGACCCATATATCTGATAGTAGTGAAATATATAAAATATTTATACAACAAAACAACAAAAGTCAAGCAACCCAAATGAAAAAAAAAAAAAATGGCCAAAGACATTTAATCAACATGGATATTAAAAAAGCTAGAAGGCAAATGAAAAATATTCAATTCCATTAGCTCTTGATACATACAATAAAGTCAGTTCTGACTTATAAGGACCTTGCATAGGGTTTCTGAGGAGCAACTAGTGGGTCTGAACCACCAACTTTGTAGCTAGCTGTTTAGTTCTTATCACACAGTGTGGCACCAGGATTCCTCTTTAATTATTGTAATTGTTAAGTGCTGTCAAGTTGATTGTGATTCATAGCAACCCTGGATAGGGTTTCAAAACAAAATAATAGTGAAATAACATTTCACCTCAAGTGAAGACTTAAAATATTTACTGATGAAGATCAAAGAGCACAGTCTTTGGTATGGATTGCATCTCAATGTAAAGAAAACAAAAATCTTCACTACTGGACCAATAAACAACATTCTTATCAATGGAGAAAAGATTGAAGTTGTCAAGGACTTCATTCTTCTTGGATCAATTATCAACACTCAGGAAAGCAGCAGTCAAGAGATAAAATGGCGTATTGCATTAAGCAAATCTTCTGCACAAGACCTTTTTAAAGTGTTGAAGAGCAAAGATGTCAGCTTGAAGACTAAGGTGTGCCTGAACCAAGCCATGGTATTTTCAATAACCTCAAATGCATGTGAAAGCTGGACAGTGAATAAGGAAGACCGTAGAAAAATTGATGGTTTTGAGTTATGGTGTTGGAGGAGAATATTGAAAGTGCCATGGGTTGCCAAAAGAACAAACAAATCTGTATTGGAAGAAATGAAGCCAGAGTGCTCCTTGGAAGTCCAGATGGCCAAATTTAGTCGCTCATACTTAGGACATATTGTCAGGAGGGACCCGTCACTGGAGAAGGATATCATGTTTGGTAAGGTGGAGGGTCAGAGAAAAAAGGAAGACTCCCAGCAAGATGGATTGGCAAAGTGGCAGCATCAATAGGCTCAAGCGTGACAACGATAGTGAGGTTGACCCGGGATAGGGCAATGTTTCATTCTGCTGTGCATAAGATCACTATGAGTCCGTACAAACTCGATGGCTCTTAACAACAACAACAATGAAAAAGCAAAGAAAACAACAGGTGTTGACAAGGTTGTGGAGTAATCAGAACACTCATCCACTGCTGCTGTGTATAGACAATGCTGCAGCCACTGTGGAAAAGAGTTCCTTGATGCCACAAAAAGTTGAATATAGAACTACTATGTTTGTTGTTGAGTGCTGTCAAACTCATAGCAATTTTGTATAGTGTTTCAGAGAAGTGGCTGGTGAGTTTGAACCACCAACCTGGTCATTCACACTAACCTTACAGTCCAGTGATTATCCTACAGCACCACACCAGGACTCCTAGAACTGCAATATAATACAGCAAATTTACTCTTAGATATATATCAAAGGAACTTGAATGACACAAACTTACAAATGTACAGCAATGACCATTACAGCAGTAGTCCCCCATTATCAAAAAATACAAACAACCAAAATGTTTATAAACAAATAAATTGATATGTTGTATGTACATACAATGGAGGATTACTCCACCATAGGAAAATGAAGTACTAAAGCATGCCACAGCATAGATGAAAACTTGCAAGCCGTAAACTGAGCAAAGCCAGTCATAAAAGGACAAATATATAGAAACAAAAAATTATTGATGGTATCAAGTGTGGTAAGGAAAGGGAAAGTTGGAGTTTTTATGTATGGACAAGACAGTTTAAGTTAATGGTGGTAGAAATATTTGGAAAACAGTAGCAAAAATGGTTGCAAATCTTGATTAATACAATCATTGATACATACCTGTATAAATTGTTCAAAAGTTATTTGTTTTGCTTTACATACATCTACCAGAATTGGGGGGCAGGGTGGGGAAATCAGTGAAAGAAAAAAGAGAACAAATATCAGAAAAATGAGTGTTTCTCAATGCATAAATTAACAGAGTAGAATAAAAGGACTATTACATTTTCCAAATAAGCGTGTACACTGTGCATCCAAACTTCGGCACTGTCCATCATAGCAATAAGCAGTGTAATTCAAGCAAGGTTCTAAGTTAGCAGATTTAATATCAGGAACACAAAATTCAGATGTCCCATTACAGTATTCAGTAAAATCACATGGATCTTGGCTTTTCCTACATACATGTCCATGGTCATGTAGCTGTGAGTAAAAGAAAACAGAAAAAATAAATAAATAAATAAAACAAAACTATATATATATATAAATAGCTAAACCAAAATTTAAGGGGCTATGGTAGCGTAGTGGTTACGATTTGGGCTGCTATTCTCATGGTCAGCAGTTCGAAACTACCAGCTGTTCCACAGGAGATAGAAGAGGCTTTCTGCTCCCGTAAAGATTTACAGCCTCGGAAACCCTGTACAGGTTCGCTATGAGTCGGAACCGACTCTATGACACTTAACGACAGCAACAAACCAAAATTCAAGAAAACAAAATAGAGACATTGCATTTGTATATACTATGTCCACCACTATTGCAGTTTTAATTATTTAAAATTAACTAATGGATTTATTTAAAAGCTTTTGTGAAAGACGACACTACTCATCTTTCCGTTTGTTGCTTTCATGTTACTATGATGCTGGGATCTATGCCACCCATTTTTTAAATACCAGCAGGGTCACCATGTGGACAAATTTCAGTGGAGCTTCTAGAATAAGACACGAAGGAAGAAGGATAATAGGGTAACATCTGAAGAAAGTTTAAGTCACTGAACATCTAAGTAACAGCAGCAGAATATTCTCAGACATAGTGCTGGAAGATAACCCCTCTAGTTGGAAAGCATTCAAAATGTGACTGAGGTAGAGCTACCTACTAAAAGTAGGATTGACCATAATGATGTGAATGGAGCAAAGCTTTCAGGAACTTCATTTGCAGTTGGTCAAAAATCAAAATAAGAAAATTATCTGTAAGTATTCATTAATAATCAGAATGTGGAATGTATACATTATGGACCTAGGAAAACTGAAAGTTGTCAAAAATGAAAAGAACACATAAAAATTATCTTAGCCACTAGTGAGATGAAGTGGAAACTATTTGCCATTTTGAATCAGGCAATTACATGGTTTACTATTCCAGTAATGTCAAATTGAAGTGGAATGGCATTGCATTCATTGTCAAAGAGAATACTTCAAGCTCTATCTTGAAGAACAGTGCTATCAACAATGTGATAATATCCAAAGACCTACAAGTTAATGCCACTATTATTCAAATTTACTCATCAAATACTAAAGCCAGTGATGATAAAATTGAAGAATTCTACCAACCTGTTCAGCCTGAAATTGACCAAACATGCAAACAAAATGCATTTATAATTCCTGGTGATTGGAATGTGAAAATTGGAATAAAAAGTAAAAATATTACCTTAGTGATAGAAATGATGCTGGAAAACACACAATAGAATTTGGCAATACCAATGATTTATTTAAAGCAAATAACATTTTTAAATGGCATAATAGGTGATTATAATGTGATCCCTTCCAAAAAAGTTGGTCATGGTAACTGGGTACTGTCTAGTTCTTCTGGTCTCAGAGTCAAGGAGACTGATGCGCATATGTCCCATAATCCATTGGTTCCAAGCCTTTTCAGTTCTTATCATTCCCAGTAAAAGTAGGCGAAAATGTGGAACAAAACTCAAAATTATTAAAAACAAAAACAAAAAAACCAGACTGGATATACTAGCCATAAAGAGACTGGAAAAACCTGCCTAGGGCCATCAACCACCTTTAAGGTCTAAGGTCTGGAAAGGAATCCAACCTCATGGCTGAATTTTCAGTCAAGCAGTAAGTAGACAGGGCAATAACAACATTAGTAAGGTATGCTCACCATGGAATGGTCAATCATTCAAAATCAAAAGGGCAGAATTTTTCTAAGGATAAATTTGAGAAGAGAGGGGAAGGTAGGTAGAAGGCAGACAGAAACCACAGGGAGAAGCAAGACAACTGTTGTTTTATGGAGGGGATTGTAATCATTGTGATGAAACAAAATGTTGTGATTTGTTAAATGTAAAACTGATGATTCTGTCTGTAACCCTTCACTCAATTCACAATAAAAGTTTTGTTTTGTTTAAAAAAGGATGACTATACACACGGACCTCACCAGATGCAACACACAGGAATTAAGTTTGATGGCATCTGTACCAGTAGATGGTGGAGAAGCTCATTATCATTAGCCAAAACTAGGCCAGGGCAGACTTCAGAACAGACCAATTGCTCATTTGCAAGTTTAGGTTGAAGCTGAACAAAATTAAAAGTTCACGAGAGACACATTATGGCCTTGAATATATCCCACCTCAATGTAGAGACCATTTAGATTATAGATTTGATGTTGTAGACACTAATGACCAAAGACCAGAAGAATTGTAGGATGACATTAAGAACATCATACAGTGAAAATAAAAGGTCATTGAAAAGACAACAAAGAAAGAAAAGAAAAAAACGTATGTCAGAAGAGATTCTAAAACTAGTTTTTGAGCAAAGAGATACTAAGGTAGCTAGAAGAAATAAGAAAATAAAAGATCTGAACAGAAAATTACAAAGGACCGCTCAAGAAGACAAAATAAAGTTTTATGATTAAAAGTTCAAGTAGAAGAACATGCTCAGCATTTCTCAAGCTGAAAGAACTGAAGAAAAATTTCAATCCTCAATTTTTATTTCAAGCAATATCAAAGAATTCTATTGGCCAAATGGGTAGCATGGTGACTTCATGCAATTAGCACAGGACTGAGAACAACAAGGTCGGCAGTTCAAGCTCATCAGCTTCTCCACAGGGGAAAGATGAGGCTTTGGGCTCCTACAAAGATTTAAAGTCTCAGAAATCTTATACAGGATTGCTATGATTCAGAACTGATTCAATGGTACTTAACAACAACAAAAGGCAAAATACTGAATGATGCAGAAAGCATCAAGAGAAGATGGAAAGAGCACACACACAGTCATTCTACCAAAAAAGTAATGGTTGATATTTAATGATTTCAAGAAGTGCATATGATCAAAAACTGTTAGTACTGAAGGAAGATGTCCAAACTGCACTGAAGATATTGGCAAAAAGCAAAAGACTTCAACAAATAGGCAGAACACAAATAAAAGTCTTTCAATAAACTGATGCATCACTAGAGGCCCCCACTCGCTTACGCAAAAAAAAAAAAAAAAAAAGGAAGACACCTACCTGGCCAATTGACTGAAAAAGATCAATATTTGTGCCCATTACAAAGACAGGTGAACCAAATGGAATGTAGAAATCATTGAACATCATTGTATCATTCAAGTAAAAATTTTCTGAGGACAATCCATAAATGGTGCAACAGTATATAGACAGGGAGCTACCAGAAATTTAAGAAGAGGATGTGGGATTAAGGATATCATTGCTGATGTCACATAAATCTTGGCTGAAAGCAGAGAATACAAGAAAGATGTTTCTTTGTGCTTTATTGACTATACAAAAACTTTCAACTTTGTGGTTGCAAAGAATGGATATTCTGGCACACTTAATTGTGTTCATTAGGAAACTGTACATAGTCCAAAAGACAGTAGTTAGAAGAGAACAAGGAGATACTGTATGGTTTAAAATCAGGAAAGGTGTACAAGAAGGTTGTATATTTTCATCATGCATATTCAATCTATATACTACGCAATAATCCAAGAAGCTGGATTATATGAAGAAGAATATGTCATCAGCATTGGAGGAAGACTCAGTAACCACCTGAGATATGGAAATGATACAAACTTTCTTGCTGGAAGTAAAGAGGACTTAATATACTTATTGATGAAGATCAAAGGCCACAGTTTTCAGTATGGATTTCACCTGATTAAAGAAAAGTCCCTGTCACTGGTAAATGAACTGTTTGGCAAAGCTTTATTATTTCAACCTACAGGTGTGAAGACAAAGGCCAAAATGATAGATCTTGAGCAAGGAAAAGCAACAACGTCTACAGCTAAGAGTAGAAACTCTAAACTAACGTCTACATTTATGCACTTTAAAGCAATATAACCGTTGACTTTGTTTACAAGCCCCTAAAACATAAAAATGCCATGCCACAAAGCAAATGAGAGTTTAGTCACATAGAGAAAAAAATTATCTGACAATCAATAATAACTAACTAATCAGCATTTATGTTTGTCATTGACTCTTAAAAGTACCAAAATGAAAACTGGGATGATAAAAGGAAGAATACCCACAAGAAAAATGTTTCCAAATTCTCCTCTCAGATGTGGCTAAAAAGAAAATTTGAATGGGAGCATTTCCAAAGGAAATCAAAGACTCAATGCACATTAAGTAAGTCCCTACCAAAGCTGAACTTTAGTTAATATATGCTACACCTTATTGCCACCACTCAAGTTGTTATACTGTGGTGGTTTGCATATTGTTATGATACTAGAAGCTATGCCATCAGATTTCAAATACCAGGATAGATGCCGATGGTGGACAGGCTTCAGCAGAAATAAGTCAGATGTGGAAGGAAGGCAATTTATTTATTAAAAAGGAAAAAAGAAGAGAAAGTCCAGTTAAAGCCTTATAAATAGAAGTGGAACATTGTCTAATAGAACGATAGAGGATGAGCCCCTAAGGTTGGAAGGCACTCAAGATACTAGTGGGGAAGAGCTGCTTCCTCCAGTAGAGTGAACCTTAATGATGTGAATGGATTAAAGCTTTGGAGGCATTAATATGCTGATGTTGTATGACACAAAATGAGAAGAAAAATATTCAAACATCCATTAATGTTTAGAACATAGAACGGACTAAGTACGGATTTAGGAACTTGGAAGTAATTAAAAATGAAATACAAAGCTTGAAGATAGACATCCAAGAAATTAGCAAGCTGATTTGGACTGCCAGTGGCCATCTTGAATCAGACAATCACATGATATATTGTGCTGGAATAGGTAAATTGAAGAGTCACGCACATTGTCAAAAAGAACATTTCAAAATCTATCCTACAGTACAATAGGGTCAGTGATAGGATAATATCCATATGCCTAAAATAAGACCAAATAATATGATTATTTTATTCAAATTTACATGCCAACCATTAACATCAAAGATAAAGAATTGAAGACATTTTACCAACTTTTGGAGTCTGAAATTATTCAAACACTCAATGAAGATGCATTAATAGTTACTGGTGATTAGACTGCAGAAACTGGAAA